CCTCCACCCCCGGAGCGGCCCCATCTCGCCGCCGTTCGCCCTAGCCGCCTCGGCCCCTTTTCTAGCTAAAGCCTCCCCTCGACCTTTAGCCCACACCAACCTCTTCCCTGCTTTCCGGAGGTCTGTTCCCCGCCCTCAGCTCGCCGTTGGAGAGCCTGAGGCCGCCGCCCCAAGATCAACCATTGTTGTTCCCCTGCTCTCGGGCGTCTCGAGTAGCGGCAGCTCCATCTCTCCTCGGTGCCCGCAGCTCTTCCTAGTGGACGCCACCTCGTTCCACCACCGCTGGTGGTCCCAGCTCCACCAGGGCCGGCCGTAGCTGCCGGAGCCATTGCCGATCACCGCTCCTCTGTTCCCCTCCCTTCTTCCTATCGGGCGGAGCGAGAAAGAGGACGACTGCGAGTCAGGCAGGCCCGCTTCGCCCCCGACCCCACGTGTTAGCGACTGAAGCCCTGGGCCCATCTATTTTAAGTGAAAACATAAATTCGGGAATATGCTTTCGTCTCCGGAAAGCGTATTTCATTTGCACTTCGGGTGCAAATACGTTTCTCTGCTCTGAAAACAGATTCTCAGTAAATGTGCTTTCTGTTTTTCAGGCTAGGGACTTGTTTGTGGAGAAATTTTTACAGATTAGTCCATGTTCTTCTTCTGTTCGTATCTTCACGATCCTAACTCCGATCGAGGTGAATCCAACGCCCACTTCTTCGTCTTGTCGAGACCTTTCTGTTGGTACCATTTTCACTATGTGGTCCCATTGTGAAAATGGCCTTTGCACCCTTTCCCTTATCAGCCCCCTTCTAGAGAGAAGAACGTCCGGCGTTTCGTTCCGCGGCTTCACTGCACTTCTTCCCGGAGTCTCCTTCATCCCCAGGCAAGTCACAATAGCCACTTGCATGATAGCCATGCATTATCCATGGTTTTCAACTTGAATCTTTAATGAATGTTTGCTTGTTTTGCTAATATCATCGTTGTTTCGGTAATGCATGTGGATCTATGTTCACCTTAATGCTATGTCTTCTTGCACTTGGTTATCATGTATTACTTGCTAGTATTATTTTCTTAAGTCATGCCTGGTAGTAGTACATGATGGAGATAGTGATGTTCATCTGATGCATGTTTATCGTCTGTTATCAAGTACCTGCTATATATACATGTTCATCTGCATCCAGTAGATAAGTGCTTTTATTATGGTTGATGCTAAATACTTCAAATGTTATGAGGTTATATTACTAGTACGTGTTGATGTTGATATCATGTTCATATGCATTGTGGTTGCATCATGTTATTTCATTATGGCTCAGCTGTTTACTTGTCAAATTTAACCGGATATTTAATGAACTTGAACACCTGTTGGTTGAGTCATAGTGCCCTCGAGACGAGCTGACCAGTGCAACCAAGCTTGCATTTGTGGGAAGGCCCTAATGCGTTCTATTGTCATGCCTCTCGCCGGTGCCTCCGAACGAGGTAATGTTATGGATGTGTGCTATCCTGATCAGGTAGGCGGACATAGCCTTGTGTGCCCGTGTTAGTTTTGAGCTCATGTCCCTGTTTGGGACCGTTTTTGTTTTGCCACGATGGTGGTTGTTGGATACCCAGAGTGGTATCTGGGCCACCCAGGACTTAGCCCAAAGGGGAGTTAGTCAGAGTGGCCGGGAGAGTGCGATGGCAATAGACCGGTTTTGTCGGAACGCCGTTGGTCCACCCGAATGGGAGTGCGAGGCCATTGGTTCCGTGGTGTCAATATAGTGTACTAACCTCTCAGAGTGTGTGTTTAATCTATCGATAGACGCGCCCGCGGATATGGGACCAGTTCGTAGTAGGTCACACTATGAGCCAACTGTAATAACAACTTGCTTAATAAAAACCCTAGTTCGATGATGAAAGAAGTTGGTTGATCTTTATGTGATCGAGAGAGGATGACGAAGGTATCATGGATACCGAAGTTTGTTGATCTTTATGTAATCGTGAGAGGATCACGAAGGTATCATGGATACCAAGGTTGGTTGTTAAGTTGATGCATGATGTAGTTATGAGGTAACCTCTGGACAAGAGTAAGTTGGTGTTGGATATTGTTAATATGTTGCATGCTAGTTTTGTCATGTTCATGCTAGGCTCATGTTGTTCTAGCGGTATCATGTTCACTTTGTGCATGCCATGTTGTTCTGTTAGTATCATGTTCATAATTGCTTTAACCTGCTAATGCCATGCTGTTGTTTGTCCTGAATGCTTTTGGTTATTGTGAGCACGCAAGTACATTCAATGTACTGACCTGGCGTGTCATGCCAGTTTGCAGGCCGTGCCGGGTTTTGCTTCCTTGATTGGTGTGGTTCCCGTGTTCGCGAGCTAGGATAATTGATCCATTCAGAGTCTCTGCAGAGTGGAGTCCATCATCGTCGTTCGTTGTTTCGTTGCTAGTAGACGTTCCGCTGCCTCGAGTTGTTATGCTGCTTGCATAGAGCAACTATGGTTGGCGTAGCATCGCCGTGCAGGTGTTATTCATTGTAATATCGGAGGCCTTGTATTCGTATTCGTGTTTAGAGAGCTCATTTGTTCTATGCTAAGCAGTGTCGTATTTCAGAAGACTTCTTCTCGACCTCTGGGCTGAAATACGGGACGTTCCAGTTTTTCTGAGCCGGGTTGCCACATGGGTACACCATTATTATCCGCAAGACAAGCATACTTCAGGTTACCCTAAAGATTCAGAGTTAAAATTAGGACAAGGCTAGCCCCTTCCATATGTTATTTTTCGGACCACGTCATATTCTTTGCATGACTGTATATATAGGGACAATAGGCATGTATCTAGTTTAGCACAAACACACTAGGCATGTAGCCAATTTAAGAAGCAGTAACTTGCCGAGAATGGCGCAAAGTAAATAAAATAGAAAGATTGTTTTCAAGATCTGGTACATAACATCACAAGATTGTTCAGGAACCCAAATCTGAGATTACGCATAGCTAGATATATGAATCGAAGGATTAAACTGCGTATATAAGTTCAGCATATGAGCACACTAGCTGCAATATCCAGACCACCATGAAACCTAAAGTAATTTCCTTCGGCTTAAAATTGATGTTAAATTGCAGAAGTATATTATACATTGTCAACATCATGTAGGGTTAGTTCTTTTGCTGGCTTTTTTGGGCTTCCAGAATAAGCTGCCCCCTACCTTAGAAGCCCAATCAAAATTTTCATTGTAGAAGCATATTAGTCGATTCTTAACTACTAGGCTTCTAAAAAAATAAATTAGGTTGGGCTTCTAGAATAAGCTGGGTGTAGGGTGCATATTATTCTAGTTTATTTTAGAAGCCAGCAAAAGAACTGGCCCCTAGAATATCATTGTATTTTCTCTGTTAACATTGTTAGAAGAGACCACATGTATACAAATTTATATATTTTGTAAAAGTACGATACTTGAGAAGAATGCCAACAGATTCTCAAAAATAAATAAAAAAGAATACCAAGAGTGGTAGCTTGTATCTCCGGTCAAAAGTCCACCGGGCCAAAGAATGCTAGAATCTATTGAGATGGCCAGGTCTCGGTTGAAGTGTTTGATCTAATCGAGAGACACCTACCTCTACTGATCTACAACTGCCAGCCAAAGTCACTGCAGATGCCGCAAGAAAGCAGAGCGAGAGGTTGCACAGGGCGAAAGGGAGGAAGGCATCAACAAAGAGAAGCAAACTGGAGAGGAGGGGGGAGAGGAGAATGGGGATAACCTTGGTTACAGTAGGAGGAGGACTGCCACGCTGTCGCAGTCGCCGCCGCCGTCGCCCTAGGGAAGAGAGCTTCGTGACTGAGTTGAGCTCGGAGGATGGAGGACGACGACTGTCAGGGCCGTCGATGTCGCCGGAGGGCACGAGCGTGGAAGCGTAGCCCTTGCTGGGGCGTCACAGCCGGTCATCCGAGGGAGAATCTTGGGAGGGGTCGAGGCGTGGAGCCAGACACCATCGCCTCTCGAGCTCGAGGGTTTCCTCCCCGACGTATTGATACGTGGAAGTCTCTCCCCGGGAAGGCCCAGGGAAAGGACGGGGGTCGTGTGCGACCAAATAGCGTCGTGGGCTCACCGGGCGTCAATTTGACCCGTGGTTTTCCCACACGGGAAATTGGCGACGATCCCCCCGGGATCCACGGCAACCAAACGAGGCCTCAGGTGAACTCCTCCACCTAACGCTGGAATGGCCTTGCCAGAGCGGCCGCCGAACCGGCGCTGTATGAGAACCACGGATGCCTCAGCGGTCAACTGCCTCTTGGACGCCCACCAGTCCACCATCGCACGCTGCACGACGAGGCGGCACCGCAGCGGCCTCCTGGACATTCATGGGGCGACCGGTGGTCTTTCTTCCCGCCTCCTCCGTAACACCACGGACGCCCAACTGGCGCAGGGTGCTCTTCCTCTTCCTCTGGACGGCTACTGCCATCATCCGCTCTATTTAGCTCTTGACGGCGAGGAACCGCGACCGTATCACACGTCGGTCCTTGAGCCCCTGGGACCCCTCTGCCACCGCCACAGCCAGGGTCATCGGCTTCGCCTCCTCGCCCCAGCGATCATCCTAGCCGACCCCTCTGCAGCTGCCACAACCGTGGTCATCGGTGGCTCCGCCCTATCCTACCCTGCTGCTTCGTACAAATAGGGGAACGGATTTTCTAGGGGAACAGTCAACGAGCGACCCAGATCTGTCAGGCCAGACAGCGAGGGTGCGAATGAGACATGTATCGGTGTTGACTAACATTGGACGGATCTACCTCCGTAGGAAATGACTAGCCCCACCATAATTTTGTAATGGTCCCACCATTATTTGTAATTTCATGCAATTTTAGTCTTGCAACTCCTCGTAACTCTTATTTCTCCACCATTTGATCACAGTGGATAGACGGCCCCTAAAATCCCCAATCACTGTAATAGTTGTATCAAAAGTTTCCACATATTTTGGTTGTCAAATTGATCATTTTGAAACACATGTGACGTTCTATACCAAAAGGGAGGGAGTATGAAGCCAGTTCATTTATCCCTAGTGCAGTTCAAACCGATCGAGCCATGTGGTAACGAGCTCTGCAACCTCTCCGAGGAACGCACAACCCATAGTTTTCGGAAAGATTCACCCGCCTGCTTCCGCAACCGCACCAGCCAATCCTGCTTTACTTGAGAAAGGCCCTTATTACTCTTGATGTTCCTTCCTTGCCGTGTAGCTCTGCGTACCTCGGGCATTTTTTCGGCGATGGCCTTCTCCACGCATAGATGTGCACTGCCATGGTTAGACCTCCAACATACTTGGTACATCATAGCCTTGATATTATGATGAAGATACTTTGTTGGCTTGGGAATAAGCATCTTGTCGAGTTGGTCTAGGGGAAGATTTACATCTGTGAGGTGGTGTGAATTCTCTGTATCGATCACCTCTATCGCAGAACCATCAGACTTGGGGTCCCCCAAGGAGTCATGAGGCAGGAACATAATTCCAAGCTTCAAAGATGGGAAATTCTCCAATGAAGACTTGTCGTCATGACCAACAACTACAGTTGATCCCGGCAGGTCACTGTACTCCGATACTGAGATATGACGCCACAAAAACACTCCGCAGGCTGGTTCAGGAAATATGCTAGAAAATTTTAATTTGTTTTCGGTGGCATTGTCGCTACCGATGTGACAAGAAGGCACAACATCGTGCTCGTATCCTTGACAACATAATGGATCTGGGCGAAACCATCTGACCAAAATTTTATGCATGTCGGTCAAGTGTCCCTCGTGTGCAACACACGACAAATCTTGCGTAGGGAGCTGGATGATCTCTCTGATGACCCTATCAGCCGTGGACTTGAAGTTTGGTGTTAGCAGTCGCAAGCACTTGACTGTAGTCCCGATTATGTCTGTACTCTCCGAAATACGCAGCATGACCACGAGCCCAAAATTGTTTTTGGGCACCTTGCAGTCTTCATACATGAAGGATAGAATGGCCTCTAGCCCACCCTCGTCGAAACCAATCGGCCGTATGCTAAAGAAGCTGTACCGGCCGCCTGGATGCAACATTTGATATATCAGCGATTTGCCCCTGAAGACATGCCCAATAAGAGGGTCAAAGAATAGGTGTTGTCGTGGCGTTCCACCGAGCTGTACAAAACTCATGAATTCACTTGCACCATCTGCAAGCTTCTCAAATCTTCGGACGGCAGCGGCGGTGGTGCTGTTCGCAGAGCAATGGTCATTGTCACGGCCGACCAAAGAGGAGATGAACACCCTGGTCGCATGAGCCATTTGTCTAGGAAATGAGGATTGCCTTACCACCTGCGCCGCCTCCTCTTCTTCCCGAAAAAGTTGCCTGCATCTGCGCGCTACGTCGTCGCAGTCCTGGGCAGCACGCTTCAGCTTCTTCCGCCAATGGAGCAGGGACGTGTTGGTGATTTGCCACTTGTCAGACGTATGGAGCGCGGCCTCCATTTTGATGCGCGCCATCTCCAGCCTCTCTAGGCCACAACCCTCTGCTGATTCTTCAACTGATCTGTCCGGCCTTTTGCTGGTGGGGGCAATACCAGAAATAATCCGGCTAACTGCTTCACCAACAATGACGGACTTGACAATCTCAGCCATTCTTGTGATTTCGGGTAGGACGCAAATTAGTAAGAGAAGAGTACGTTGTGGTTGTGCTGCTCAAGAAATGGACTAGCCCACCTCCGTTTCTTTTATTGCTCAACTTGCTTTCGTAGTCTGTGGTGAATCAAATTAGCGACTGAAACATCTATGCTCGCTGGTGATTTTCTATTGGAAAGGAGAGAGAAGAATTTTGTTTCACTCCGTTGATAAAGACAATTGGCGGAGCAGAACGGGTGCACCAGAATATACTTGGTGACAGCCTCCTCGGACGTGGTGCATACGATTTTGGAGCCATACAAATATAGTGGATTACTATATGCCAATTGTGTTAGGTCTTCTATAACGCATGGACTCTTATATAGGCGCTTAGAGAAAAAATATATCGCTTTCAGTTTGAAGCATGTGTTAAGAGTCTCTAGTCCAAAAGCTGCTACCGCTTACGTACGGGCGCTAATGAATGAAAAAAAAAGAAAAAAAAGGAAAGCTGTACTAGCTATGTCTGATGACTCAATAGGCGGCGAGGCAAGCGGAAATCCCGAGCTCAAAAGGGAATCTGGCAAAATAGGTCAGAATTAGGAGGTTTTATTTAACATGGTCCCTCTCGATTAGAAAAAAAAATGAAAGACTGTGTTTTATGCATGAGCGTGACATAACTCGCCATGCAAACCACCTCTCTACTGATTATTTGATTATCTGTACTATAAAAGTAAGTTTCACTATATATATCATTCACCGTAGAATATACCACATGGCAAACGTGGTAAGCACCCAAACTTGATGAAAAAAACATTTTTTTTTTGCGGGTGTGATCAAACATTCACCATACAATATGACTAGGCACGATGACTCCGCACACAGGACCCTCCATGCAACAAAACAATGATATACACGCAAGAGGTTCAACTCAACATACAACCTTGTTTTGTCATGGTGATCATGAATTTGAAGGGAAAATCTGTGGGAAAAACTACCACGGAGTTCACCCAAGAAAAGAACAAAACCAAAGTTTCATGTGAAATTTAGGCCACTGACCATTGGTCCAGTAAACTGCTCGCCTCAATACTAATCGATCAATGCTGAAAACATGCTACAGAGCCTCTCCGTGGAACGCACGCCCCATAGTTTGAGGAAATAACTCTGACTACCTGCTTCAACAACACTTTCCTTATTCCTTGATCCTGGTTCTGACGAAGCATCTTATGGATAACTCGTTGTGTGGATCTGATGGCAATGCATGTCTCGGTCTTCCTTGTGTTCTCCACATATAGGAGTGCACTGCCATGGTTAGATGTGCAATATATCTGGTAATTCGTGGCTTCTTTGTGATGATAAAGATAATCTATCGCCTTCGGGAGAAGCATCTCGTCGAGTTGGTCTGGGTGAACATTTAAAGGGGTGAGGTGTTGCTTCTCTCCATCGATCGCCTCTATCGCAGAGCCCTCGATTGAGGACTCAGGATCCTCCAATGAGTTATTAGGCATGAATAGAATCCCCAGCTTCAAAGGTGGGAAGTTCTCCAGAGAAGTAGATGTGTCCACATTGCCAGTTGCTGCGGCTGATCTCATCATAAGATTATTGTACTCAGATACTGAGATTTGACGCTGCAAATACACTTGAAAGACTGGCTCTGGAAACATGGCCGAAAGTCTCAATTTGTTTCGGCTACCGCCGCCACCAGAAAAAGGCACATTGTGATGCAACTTGTATCCTTGACATCATAATGGATCTGGGCGGAACCATCTAGTCAAAGTTGTGTGGATGTGGTTCCAGTGTTCTAGGTGTGAATTCGCAACCTCTTGTGGCACACAGAAGAAATCTTGTGAGGGGAGCTGCGTGATCTTGTTGATAACAATTTCGGCAGTGGACTTGAAGTGAGGCGTCACCTGTCGCAAGCACTGTAATATAGTTCCGATTATGTTTGTACTCTCCGAAACACGCAGCATGAACCCAAGGCGGAAATTGTTCTTGGGCACCTTGCAATCTAGATATATGAAGGTTACCATGGCCTCTAGCCCTCTTTCCTCGAAGCCCATTGAGCATATACCGAATAAATGGAATTGGCCTCCTCGGTGCAACACATGGTACACCAGCGATTTCCCTGCAAAGATATGCCCAATGAGAGGGTTAAAGAATAGGAGTTTTCATGGTTTCCCGCCGAGCTGCACATATCTCATAAATTCACTAGCACCATCCACGAGCATCTCGAATCTTTGAACGGTAGTGCTGCCCAAAGCAATGATCATTGTTGCGGCCAAGACAAGAGGAAATGTGTGCCTTGGTCGCATGAGCGAACCGTCTAGGAAATGAGGATTTCCTTATCACCTACTCTGCCTCGTCCTCTTCACGAGAAAGTTTCCTGCATCTGCGTGATGTGTCGTTGCAGTCCTGGGCAGCGCACTTCAGCTTCTTTCGCCAATCGAGCAGTGGCGTGTCAGTGATCTGCCACTTGTTGGACGTGTGGAGCGCGGCCTCCATTTTGCTTCTAAATCTGGTTTGTGCACGGTTTTGCTGGCCGCGGCAATACTAGAAAAGATCCAGCTTACTCTTTCCCCAACAATGGCAGACTTGACCATCTCAGCCATGGATTGTGATGTGTGAGTAGCGATGAATTAGTAAGAGAGACTACGCTCTACTCAAGAAATGGACTAGCCTTGCTGCTCACCGCTCACATTTTTGTTGCTTTTATCACTACAAGTTGCGTGGTTGGTTGTGGGGAATCAAGTGAGCGACTGAGATGTCTAAGCTTGTATGTGCTTTTCTCTTGAAACAGAGACAGAAATTTGTCACATTCCTTCCATTAATAAAGGGAGAGTTGGTTTGGCCAGTGTCAAAGCAGAACGGAAATTTGCTGAAGGAAACAACGATAAACTTGGCCAGCCACCTGTTGAAGAAAATTCGCTGTCTACGGCCTAGAGAAACAAAAACAACCAGCCAACCACATGATTTAAATATTGACAAGAGTCCACAGTTCAAATCCTACAGAACAAGGGGGCAGGGAACATAGGGCCGGCCGGTGCTTGACTTGCTATGTGGCACACCTCATGTATGACCGACATGAGAGTATGGGACACCGTATGCATGACATCCCAGTGAAAAAAAAAACTGATTATGTTCCAATGAGTTTGCAACCTTATTTTCTAATAATTGTGCAGCTCGGATGTTCAAATAAACCAAGGTCCATCACACACCTAACTCTACCGTTAAGCCTCGTGAAAAACATTATTTGTGCCGTCACGTACAACAGCTTTTTCGGTGGAACTTGGAAGTTAGCCACTTCTCTCTCTTTTGGCAATGGAAGTCCACTTAGGAAGCTTCGCAAGACAAAGCATGAGTTGCATCGACGATAAGCACTGCTAAAAAGCTGTAATCTCTTCTATTTTCTTGCTTTCCTTTTCCTATTCATATCCTCCTCCTATCCTATCTAAAAAGAACATACCATTCCTAGTTTTGCTCTTAGTTTCGTATCTCAACTCTCCCGCCCCGCGCGAACCAACCTGTGGTTGGATGGTTAGAGAGAATGTGGTATCCCCAGTCCACCAGGGTTCAAATCCTGGTGCTCACATTTATTTCTGGATTTATTTCAGGATTTCTGGCGATGCGCATTCAGTGGGAGGAAGATGATATGCCGGCTCAGTCTCTCGGAGGTGCTCATAGGGACAGGGTGTGCGTGTGTGCGTTCATAGGGATGAGTGTATGAGCGCTTGTGACTGTACTGATGTTCAAAAAAAAAAACTCTCCCGCCCCGCCTAATCTCTAAGAAAACCAGACACTTCACCCCAACCAACCTGTTTTGCACCGCAAACAAGTCTCTGAAAAAACCATGGTCACCCAGTGCATGATAGCCAATGCACGACCCCCCTATGATCCCACCCTGCAGTCTGCCCTATCACCGTGGAAGATCAAGGTTTTTGATTCCAAAGGAGAAGTTTTTCCCATGGGGCACCCAAATTCTCGTTTACCATGGTAACTAAAAAAATCCGACAAAATTTCAGACGAAATTTAAAATGAAATTTTAATTATTGAACCACAGTTTATCGCAAACCACTGGCTAGCCTGTTGGAACAAACCGTCGTCTAGGAAGAGAGGTGGCGAGTTTGAAACTTCGTGATCTCAAAGTTGTTTCGCACTACTTAAAAAATGAAGAGAAAATGGTTACTTGACTTAGTACTGGTCGTTTGAATTCAAAATTCTAAATAAAATTGTTAATTTTTTGCTTGAAACATGTATTTCTCGTGAGGGACCGAGAAACATGGTTACCGGGCGGGTTACCGCCAGGAACAAAAACCATCTACAATATCCTACTGTTGCAAGTTACCTTCAGCTCGGCCGTGCATGATCCTCCCTCCGCGTGCTGCCTTAATCGCCTCCCCTCAGCGCCGCTTTATAGGATCCTCCTGCGCCATCCATTCAGGGGAGGGCCGGTTCATCAGTGGAGCACGCATCACTCGCGTCGGCGCAAAGTTGCAACACACTTCACCGCCTCCCAACGATCTTGAGAATACTGACACCACGCCACACCACCTCCAAGGAATCAGGAGTGAAGTGCATTGCCTGGATGTCACCGCCACCATTCTACTCATGCGGACACCAAGGACCGGATGACATCGCGGCACCGCACCCACTTCTATCGCCCATACATGTCACACAGGGATTGCATCGCCTGAGAAACAAACGATCACCCCGACCATTATTTTGGATCCAGTTGTGGACTTGGAGACCATTGGATGCTTGTTCAACTCTTCAATCATGGTGCAGGATGAAGAAGGCCACACACCTCACCGATAAGAAGACCACACTGGCTAGGAGCAAAGGTGGACACGGTCCGGTCTGGTCCCTTATCGAGCTACTAGTGGGAGACCGGTGGCGAATGATTCGGGCCGAACCTGACTGACCAACTCAACAGTTTGGTTTTCATGGACCGGACTGGCAAGGCTATGGCTCGGGCTGGACCAAGAGGACCGGTTGTGATCACCGGCGAGGAGCACCTCATGGGGCTA